CAGAGCTGTGTGCCCCTGGCCAGAGCTCGCAGAGGGGCCACCCAGGGCTGCCCACCCTGTGCTCTCCCTACAACATCTCCCCTTGCGTTCCTGTCCCCTCTCAGGCTTGGCAAAGACATCTGCCTCGCCCAGGAGGATGAACAGTGATGTCTCCAGCACGCACAGGGCACGGCTTTGCTTCTCCTTGTGTTTGCACTGAACAAGGGGTGACATTCCAGCACCTTCCTGGTGCCCCCAACCTGGCTGGGCAGTGCAGGGGGACCCTGCTGGCCATTCCCAGTGCCCATTCCCTGTGCTCCTGAGTGCTCACCCCAGGGAATTGTGCTCACCCCAGGGAATTGTGCTCCTGAGTGCAGGTCCTGTTGTTGGTCCTAACCCAGGGTAATTAAGACATTCCAGCTGGCTCTTTGCTAGGCTGACTCAGGGGAGTGCTAATAGGATAGGGAGTCTTTCACCTCGAGTTCAGCCATTCTGGCCCCCAGATTGCCAGGTAGTGATCAGTAATTCCTCATTAACCCTGACACAGGCTGGATCTGACTCTGCTTGGGCATGTTGGCTGAGTTGTGAGCACGTGGAGCGTCAGTGTCTCTGATAATTACATTTCAAAGGGAAGAACCCCACTGCTGTGAGTGAGCAGCAGAAGTTGATGTCTCCCTGTGGCATTATTTTAGCTCCCCTTTGTTGTTGTTGTTGTTGTCTCCAAACTCAACAAGCTATCGTAAGCTGTCATGATAGCAGCAGACACAGAGAGAGGTTTTGATGGCTACAAACTGACCATCGTTCTTAGGTTCCCCTGCAAGGCAAGCAGCTGATGGGAATACAGCCATAAATGCTGGACAGACATCTTTTAAACAATAGCAAATCCAACACCTAAATTATAATGAAACTCCAAGAGGCCCCTGATTTCATGATCCTACCTGCACTGCCAAGAACGTGAAGAATGGCTGGCTCTTGACATCCTTCCCTTGCCAAAGGGCAATTACCTCCTCTGTATGCATTGCCTTAATCATGTCAGGTTGTGTCCCATAAATTTGCATGTCTCCCAAGGAAGCACAGGGCATTGCCAGCAGCCTCAGAGGCCACATCAAAACAATTTCCTGGTGTGTGTTTACATCGGCTTTGGCTCCCGAGCCGCCTTAGCTGCAGTTTCTCCCCAAAACAGCAGCAATTCCTCTCTCCAGACTGTGCTGCAGGGGGGGTAGAAGGTGGAATAAGCAGAATGTGGATGGAGACATTGTCCTTTCCAGAGCTGGGCAACACTTTCTAGATTAATGAACTGCAAATCAGCTGCACAAACGAAACCACAGGCTGGATACAAACACGGTCCTCTGAGAGGGGCTTGTTGTCACAGGCAGGGAGGAGGGAGTGTACACACAGATGTGTGACGGGGGTGTAATGAATGCCAGCTTCCCTCCTGCCTCCCTGGGATGCACGGGGATGACAAACTCTCTGAGGAACAATTCCTTTGACTGGATCGTTGAGGAAAGGAAACTTGTCACGCTGCCAAGAATAAAACTGCTTCTGGGCTTGGGTTTGAATTTTATGAAGTGAATAAGTGAAAAATGTATACACATTCACTTCAGACCCAAGTCATGAATAATTAAAAGAATATATAATTGTACCCAGTTTTCCCCTCAAGCTCAACCAGCAAAGATATCTTCTGTCCATGTAACAGGGTGCTTCGTGTGGTTTGTGGTTTTTTTCAGAGCCTGTTAGGAGTGAGCTGAACCAAGGATCACTGAATGCATCCTGCACCAAGCAGGAATAACAGCCTGACCATCAGAGCACACAGAGACACAGGCTGAGAACTCAAGCTATTTCCTATGAAGGAAGCTGCAGATTTTTTGATTATGCACAGATATTTTCCTACTGTGATTCATCCACACTTGATGTTGGATTTAGGCCACAATATGATACAAACAGTATTATTAACACAGCATTGTTGTAGACATTAATCTGATGCTGCAAATGGCAAAGATCAGACCTTTTTTACAAGGCACAGAACGACAAGGATGTTTACCATGTCAAAAATAACTAGGCAGAAAATGACCTCAGACAATAAAAGTTATCTGTGCCTGTTTTTCTGAGACAAGCAGACTTGCCAGTACCAATTAAGGACTGTGAGTGAACAGTGCACAACCACAGGTTTGTCTGCAGTGCTGTTGGTGTGCTGGGATAGTCTCACAGTCCTTAGCTGGAGGAGGCAGATGCAAGAGATCTCCTATTGCTGTTATTTTCCCACATTATTCCCACAGTTAATAGGTCCCTCAGTTTTCAGCCAAAGTGAAATTAATATCCACTTTCCTCGAGGGCACAGAAATTAGCAAATATGGCATTAATAGCAATGCATTTAGTACCTTTCCCTTGCAGATACAGAGATCTTATTTAAAGAGTAATGAAGAACTATAAACTAAATAACCATAACACCAATACAAACAGATTCCCATGGCTGCCAAGCTGGCTCTTGCTTTCTTTTGTACTAGGATGGCTGTTTGCAGCCAACAAACTCTTCTCTGCCAGAGAAAAATGGATGCTCATGATGTGCTGATCTTGGAATTTCATACCACAGGTGTCCAGGACAGCAGCCAAATTGTATTTGTATGGGCTACAAAACTACAGCCCAAAGCCCTTACCATCAAAAAAAGGGCAAAGTAAAGTTGGGGGGAAAAAAGAAATCCCACAACAGTATTTGAACTTCCTGCATAGGGGAAATAGCAGGAAGGAATTCTGTACAAATGCAGGCTCTGCATCAACCCCCCAGAGACATTCAAATGAATGTGTTCAAATTCCAGCATTTCTGAACTGTTGCTTGAACCACTTGAAAGGGGGGGGGCATTTTTCACCTAGTTGGTGGGGTTTCTTTTAGATTGCTAGAAAATATTTTTCTAATATGTAAAATGTGAAAGGACTATTAAAAAGATGGATGTCTTGTGTTCTGGTGCTTTTGATGACTAATTTCTATTTAGAAGGTTAATTGTGAAATACGCCAGACCCCAGAATTGAGTGAACGGTTCATTCCTCCCACGTACAGGACAAATTCACGCAGCAGAGCTCTATTCCTTCCAGCCTGTTCCCTTTGGCAAAGCCTCCGTGTCAGAAAACGCTTATATTTGCACTTGTGTGATGTTTAGCAATGGAATTCTTCAGCATTCCCGGGTAGCTGGCTCTGACCTCTCGCGGTGTGTTCTCTCTCTCGCAGCCGATGGATTCCCGGCTTTGTTGTGCCACCCCGTGTCCGAGGTGACAACTGCACCGATGGCTCGAGTTGGGCCACGCTGGAGCCCTGAGGTGACACCTGCGCCTTTGAACGCAGCTCTGGGGTCATCAGCGCATTTAGAAAAGCGTTGTGAGTATTTAAATTTAAAACTTCCACCCTCTTCACTTAGTAAGTCATGGTGGTCCATTATTTATTACTCTGCTGAAAGACAAGGAAAATGATCTGTTGGGTAACAGAATTATTCTCGACATAAATGAGTCTCATTTTCTGCTTTACCTATACCAGAAGAGAACAGCACCGATTCCAAAGCTGTGCTCTGACAGCAGGCACGGGAGGTTCCACAGGAGGAGCAGCTAGGAAATAATCACATCCTTCAGCATGGGGTGTTTGGTCATCTTCTTGCATCCTTACCCCCAGAAACAAAGGTGGCAGGGTGAATTTTGTCCCTTTTGTTGCTTTACTGCATTTGTCCCCACCGGTGGTTACAGAGGCTTTCTTCAAGCAGCTCTTGCTTTACATTTGTAACTTTTATATGATAATGTATCCAGGCCTCAGGCCCTTTGCTGTGCATGATACTAGTTCTTTATGAATGTGTTTTCAATGCTCTAATTAATTTACCTTAATAATTGTGGTTTTTTCCCCTGTTATTTGTAGATTTTATCTTTGCTGGTTGGTAGTGCCTGTGCTTTCTTTTCTCCTTCAGTGTCATTTTTCTTTCTCGTGTTTCCCTCCATGCTTTTTCTGCACCTTTATGTCACTTTTTACTTCTTTCTACACTTCTTTGTGGCAGAAGTCAGTGTTTACCAGCACTATACAATTAAAAAAAAAAAAATGCGGTGTTGTTATTGCATGTGTCAGGCAGTAGGTCAGCTGTGATTCAATCAGCAGCTGCCTGTATAACAATGTTAGTGGTGGATTCTAAACCTTAGCCAAACCTTCCTGCCATCCCTATCTCCTCCTCCATGGCGGTAGGTAACTACCATTGGCGTCCTTAGGTATGTGAACAGATTTAAAGAAGTAGATTTGTGTAATGTCCTGTGCTTCTGCTGTGTGTACGTGATGAGCACGGGCAGGATTTCGGGTGCTGTATTTATTTATACAGCCTAAATTGTGGTGGCAAACGACGGGGAGAGCCAGGGCCTGGGCTCTGTAGCTCTGTGAGCAGTGCCCGTGGTGTGTCACACTGACATCATCTCTCCAGTCCCTGAAGGGAATTCACGGGAAAGCTGTGCCAGGGCAGGCTCAGGGTGGATCTCAGCCAAAGGTTCTTCCCCCAGAGGGTGGCTGGCACTGCCCAGGCTCCTCAGGGCAGTGTCACCGCCCCAAGGTGACAGAGCTGCAGGAGGGTCTGGGCACCGTTCTGGGGGACAGGCGGGGATTGCTGGGGATGGCTGATCGTGGGACCCGCTGATCCTGCTGGATCCCGGACAGCAATCCCGGAATCTGCCCGTGTAAGCCCGCCCTCCCTGTCCCGGCACCGCCCTCTCCCTGTCCCGGCACCGCCCCCTCCCTGTCCCGGCACCGCCCCTTCACTCCAAGCACCGCCCCCTCCCTCTAGGCACCGCCCTCTCTCTCCAAGCACCGCCCCTTCACTCCAAGCACCGCCCTCGCGGCCCCGCCCTCCCTGTTGGCGCGTGCGCGCGGGTACCGCGGGGTCACGTGAGGCGGCGGCGGATTCTGTTCCGGGTGAGCGGGCCCGGCCCGGCCCTGCTGTTCGTGCTGTCCCTGCTGTTCGTGCTGTCCCTGCTGTTCGTGCTGTCCCTGCTGCCTGTGCCGGCCCTGCCCGCGCCTCTCCCGCAGGTACGGACCGAACGGGGCGGCAATCCCGGAGCCGCGGGCCGCGGCTCGGCCGAACCGCGTCGCGCTGACGGTGACGGGCGAGGGAGGCGGACAGGGACCCCCCCCCCGGGGATGGACAGGGATGGACAGGAATTCCCCCAGGGGAGGGACAGGGTCCCCGCGGCCCCGCCGTGCCCCGCACGGGGAGAGCCGTGAGCACTCTATCCCAACTGGGAACCCCCCCTGCCCCGGGGATATCCCCCTCCCCTGCCCCGGGGATATTCCCCCCCCCGTCCCCTGCCCCGGGATATTCCGGTCCCTCAGAGTCAGAGGGCTGCTCTGGAGTGCCTTTTGTCTTAGTCCCTCCCTGTTTGCTGCTATTAACGCAATACGGTAAATGGCAGGTGCTTGTTTTGGGGTGACTCGTGTGCGTCTTTAGGTCTCACAGAGCAATAGGAGTTGTGTTTAGGCAGGCAGGGTGTGAATTCTCTGTGACAGCAGTCAGTGTTTGCCTGCAGGTGAGTCCGAGTGGCACAGAAATGCAGATCACTCTGTGGGTGTGGATTTCAGAGCAGTGTCCTCGGAGGGGAAAGCTGGAGTGTTTGCAGAGGTTTTCTCTTTTAGCTGCCTGGTTTCTCTGTGCTTCAGTGCTGAGGGAGGGCAGTAAAAAGGAGGCAAACAATGGACGTGTTTTTAATGAAAGCCCCTGTGTGACCTGCTGCAAACTTGCAAGGGACACGGTCTGGATGTCTGTCTGAGATCTGGGAAGGGTGTCCTGGGTTCTGAAAGCCACTGGAATCATAAAAACATTTAGAAACTGCCACGAGCTCCGTCACGTGGGTTTGTGCCCCAGGAAATGTGTCTGTTCCTTGCTTTTGGCTCGCTGTAAAATCAAATGGCAAAATGGCTTTTAGAGGCACCTCTTTAATGCCTGGAACCTGGGAGGAACAGTTACTGTTTCTGCTGACAAAGGGAGGTGAAACAAAGCAAGCTAGAAAGTGATGAGCAATGGAGAGTAAGGTCAGGTTTGCTGTTCTCAGAAACCACAGGTTGACCGTGGGGAGTGCCCGGATCAGGTAGAAATTAATTGCTTTTCTACATGTCTGATAAATACTCGCATTATTACAACATAAAGCATTTTTCAAATGAAGTTTTTAGGTTTTAGTTTTACAGCTGAATTAAAAAGACTGTGGTTTACTAAAAGCAGATGTCAGCACTGCCGCAGCACTGGCAGGAAGACTATTCTAAACTCAACTTTAGTTTGTATAAGCAGAAATTTTTTTTTCCCTGCTTGTAAGCGTTTATATTAATTGATGAAAAATTACTTTAGTCATCACTTTTCTAACTTCCTTGAGAAGATTACCCTTCCTCCTTAATTTCTCATTCTTCTTGTTGACAAATGATAGTGCTTTTATACATGAGACTTGAAGTAAAAGCATCCAAAACAACTACTCAGTCAGCATGTTAAGTGGGATGCTGAAAACCGAAATTCAGTCTTATCTGATGCTGAACTCAGAGCTTGCCTTGGAAGTTGCTTTCAGTTGTCCTGTGTGGTATTTAGCAAGTGATGGCTTTCTGATCCACCTTCATAAGAAGCTGCTGGCAAGAATCCTGCAAGTCACGTGGGGAGTGTTTTGGAAAAGTACCTTAAACTTTGATAACAGCATAGTAAGTTTATCTCAGTGTAATGAAATACAAGCAGGTGGGAATTGCCTCTGCACTGAATGCTGTGCATTTGCAATTAGTAGAGTTACTTGATGTCTGGTGTTTTTCAAAAGCGTGGTGAGAAAACTGTGGGAGTCTTGGAGGAAACCCTGACAGTGAACTGTGAGGGAACTGTATGGAGAGTGCAGGGCAGGTGAGCTCGGGAGGAGCCTCTTACAGCCACCAGCACGCTGATAGTGGGTATTTGTCCCGTCATTTTTCTTCATTTGTCCATCTGACCCCCGGGAGTGGAGTCAGCAGGTCAGATTTTCTTTCGGGGTCAGCTCTGTGTTTGCATCAGGCGGTTCATTCCATCCTGATGTAGCCACTGTGTCCCCACCGTGGAGGGTCCCTGGGGGCACTCCCTGTGCCCCATCCTGTGTCCCCACCGTGGAGGGTCCCTGGGGGCAAAAAAGTGTAATTTGTTTCTTTTTCAGAACCCCACACATCTGAGTTCGTTTGCATTTGCACTTTGTACTTACTGGTGTTCTGTGTTGATTGCTTCTTTGCCTTTAAAAGTACCATTGGTTCTTGTTTGAATAATGTTCCATCATTGGTAAGTTTACCTGTTTCTGGCAATATTTTTAGAGCCAACACAGCCAAGAGCTTCAACTGGTTTGGCCTTGTGTGTCAGCAGGATGGTTTGTCATGTTCCTTTACCGGGGATCCCTTGTTGCTGGTGATGGGTGAGCCTGCACAAACACAGCTTCCCTTGCACATCCCAGGGTGAGTTCTCTGAAAACACCCTCTGAAACAGTTATATGTTAAGTGTTTGGGGTTGGTTTGGTTTTGTTTTAGTTTTTAAATGGGTTGTATTTTAGATCTGACCATCTGGATTTTTTTTTTTTTCCTCAAAATATGCACTTATTCGTTATCTCCTGTAGAATCTAGAGACATGTCAGGTTTCTTACATTTTGGAGTGAACTGCTGTCATCATGAATGATAAATCAGGTTGCTCAAGGGCTGGCTTTTAACTGAGAGGCTGATTCTGCTTGATTACATGAAATCCCTTCCAGCCTACCTTGTTGTGTGATAAGCCATCCCATAAGCAGTTTTGTTTGGGACCAAAGTAAAATGAAACATGGAAACCATGAACTTTTCCCTGTGCTGTTCCGGTTTGTATTCAGCACAATCCCTCGATGTGGGGCTGGGTTGAAGGGTGTGTTGCCAGTGTGGGAATTACAGTAGTACTGAAGCAGCATCTTCTTTGTGTTCCTGCAGCTCCTCTTTAGCCCACTGTCCTGAAGACAAGGGGTTCTGGCTGACCAGGAGTCTCTGTTAGCAGTTCAGGTTGGCTGGAGAATGGAAGGTGTTGAGTTCAAGGAAGAATGGCAAGATGAAGATTTTCCAAGGTTTTGACTTTTGTTTTAAAGTCACTCAGCTCAAACACACAACATCCACAATAAGCCACCTCTCTGTCTTCCTGGTGAACTGATACTCAGTAATAACGTTGAACGTAGTGTTATGAGATGTTAATAACATATATTTAATATCTATTAAGTCTAAATATTTGGCATTAAAAGAAATGAAAAAGAAGTTTTGCAACAATAATTTCTACCTTGTGTCCCAGGCCCCTGCCAGAGGATGATCCTGTTGAGTCTGAAGCGTTGGCTGCAGCTGGAACAGAAAGCCAGGCTGGTAAGAACCTCCCACTCCAGTCCAGCTGCTTCCTTCTTAGCTGCTGTTTTAAAGCTCCAGTTTGCTTCAGGGTGTTTTTTGCTGTGTGGGGTTTCTTGGGTTGGTTTCTTTGCGTTGGGCTTTTCTTTGTTGAGTCAGGCTTGAGGAAACAGCATTGTAAAATACGCTTCAATGATGCCTAACAAAAACAAGGGGAGGGACATGAATCTACTCTGTTATTTGCAGGATTTATTTAGTATAGTATCTGCAACAACCAGGTAAACTCATGGTCTTGAGACTTGAGATCTTTCACCTCCTGTTCTTTTCATCCCGTGTTAAAGTCTTAATCCACAGATACATTGTTTGAATTATTGGCATGAGCATACAACGACTTATGAAAGAGGACAGGGCTGTTCTGTGTTATTAATTTGTTTGTCTGAACTCATCTAGCTTTGAGAATAAATAACTTGCTTTTTTTAGGTACCGAGGTTAATGGAACCAAAGTGAGGAAGAAACTAGTGGCTCCAGAGATCAGCTTAAATTCGGATCCCACTGAGGAATCTGTTGTGTCTGATGACCTGGATGAGAGTGGAGAGATTGATCTGGATGATATAGATACTCCTTCAGAAAACAGTAATGAATTTGAATGGGAAGGTAAGTATTTTGGTCCTTTGCCCAGGTGCTCTAAAATATTTCCATTTTCTTACGTGCGGGTCAGCAGTTTCTCAAGTAAGAAATAACTTTGACTCAGTGTTACAAAGGTGTTTTCCATGTGTTAGAGGTGAGTTTAAATGGAGGGAACATCCAGAGGGACAGAGATTGGCTGCCCAGAAACTGATGAGCTGTAATTTTGGGAGGACTGAGGGGTATTTCAGAAACACTGAGTAACACCTGTCTCATACCTTCCTGTGGTAAGAATGGCAAACTCTGAGGGTTTGCTTGCTTTCCACGTGGCCTGCAAGCAGCAGATTTTGTGTCTGGAATTCTGAAATTACTTGATGGGAAGTTAACTTAGCTATAGCCACAGTATTAACCATCTTAATTTTAAGAAGTGAACAGATGCTTTATCTTACTCTTATAGGCAAAACGTGGAGATTCTGAGAGATGTTATTTGAGGCAAACATTTTGTGTAGGAGTCGAAGCACAAAGTTTGAACTTGGAGTTTAATTATGTTTTAAGGCCCTTTTATGTAAGCCAAGAACTGTTGTGTTGGTCAGTGTGTTGAAGTCCCTAACATCTGTAAACTTCATGGCTTAAAAATGTAAAGTAAACCTGTAAACTCAATTATTATTTTTTTTTTATTCTGAAAATAGAATACTGCTAATTCCTGACTGAACAGGAAGTTCTCAGTGTTATGTTTGAAACACTACCCGTGTAAACACTACCCTTTGAAAAAAGGGGGTGTTTTTGTTTTTTGAAATAGCTAAAGATGTGTCAGGTGAAGGTTTCCTAACAGAGACTGTGCATTTACCTGTGTAAAAGGAGCTTCATTGTTTTAAGAACTGGTATTTAGGGGTAGTTTTGCTGTGATGCCAAGGAACTGTTCCAGATGTTTGTGTCTTGTTTTTAAAAGTGGCTGAAAAGGGTTTCTGTCTTTTCTTCCTTTAATGCTGCTGCCTTCATTTTCCTGGAAGGATAGTTGCAATTAACAGCTTTGTCTTGGGAACAGACAACTAACTTGCAGTAGGTTTTTCTCGCTTTGGGTAAGGTCTGTGCAACAAAGTCAAAAATCATCATTGAATGGGTGCAAATTGTCTTGCAGATCGCTGTCACGTAAATTCCATAGATATTGATTCCACACATGTGAATTAGACTTAATTTCTAATAGATTTGCCTGCATGTCTGCTTGCAAGGTACCATCAATGTTTTTAATCATGCTTGTGTGTAAATCTGTGATCAAGCAACCTCTGTAATTCTCGTTGGGGTTAACCACTTTGTCTGTTTTGGTGACATTCACTGAGCCCTGTGCTCTGAGAGCCTGCAGTTCATTAGGCTTCCTACAGGAATGGAAATTTTTCACCTACTTTTAACACGGAAAATGGCTGCCAACATGAGTGTGTTGATACAATATCCCTGGCACCAGCTGGTCTGTCTGACTGGCTCAAGAACCCCCAAATGGATCAGACAGCAGAGTGGTTAACCTGTGCTGCACCTGATTGTCCCTGGCACGGCGTTCATAATGGATCTTGAACGTGCTTTGCCTCTGGCAGATGATCTTCCAAAACCAAAAACTACTGATGTGCTGAGGAAGGGCTCCCTGAGCGAGTACAGGGAGGCAGAGGAGAAGGATGACGGGCGGCGCTGGCGCATGTTCAGGATCGGAGAGCAGGACCACAGGGTGGACATGAAGGCGATCGAGCCCTATAAAAAAGTGATCAGTCATGGGGGTAAGGATTGGCCACGTGTGTGGGGGGGAACTGCTGAGCAGCTGCTGCTGTAGCTGAGCTGGGGGGGCACAGGGAGAGCTCTGGGCATAAAGGCCTGTGATGGTTTGTTTTTTGCAGTGTTAAGACACTGCTGATTTAATAATTTTTTCTCTATTAAAACTAAAGTTCCAAAATGTTCACGTGTACTAAAGTGCACATATGTAATAAGATGTATTTAATCTGTTCTGCAGTGTCACTGCTACCAGTACATTTTTATTTTTTTGTTTTAAGTGTGTTGAAAGCACTGACTGTAACTCTACTAAGGCCTAAATCAATTCGTGACTTCCCAACAGTCTGGGAAGTTTAGGTTGGAAGAAAAGTTGACTTAACTTTAAATAACATAAAATTTTACTAAGTATGCTGAGATGTTGGTTGTAGGTACAGCATTTGATTGACTTCAGCTGTTGCTTTACAAGTAGACAAACTTGAAATCTTGGGGTTTCCTGTGACTGTAAGAATCTGTCCACGTAGATGTTTGTAAATCTCTTTAAGGTAAATAATGAAAAAGCTTACTGAATGTGCTTGGCTTTGTGTAAATGTAGTCAATGGTAGTCACCTTTGTCACTGCTGCTGCTGTTTCTTTGGTTTTAGGTTATTATGGTGATGGGTTAAATGCCATCGTTGTGTTTGCTGTTTGCTTCATGCCTGAAAGCAGCCAGCCTAACTACAGATACCTGATGGACAATCTATTTAAGTGAGTCATCATCTGCCTCTCAATACTGTCTTAATTCCACCTCAGGAAACTTAGCATTCTAATACAAGGACAGTTACTTCTCTCCCTTTTTAATAAAGCTTTTTATATTTCAGATGAGGGAAAGGGAGCAAATAGAAAAGCAACTGCCTCCACTTCCAGGGGAAGGAAAGAAATGGATTAGATGTTGTTCAGCATTGTTGCCAACTCTGTTTTTTCAGTATTTTTAATATATCTGAGCACAGGAATTGTTAGGAAGTGCAGGCTGAGGACACTGAAGTGTCTCCTGTCTCTGCAGGTATGTGATTGGCACTTTAGAGCTGTTGGTAGCTGAGAACTATATGATAGTTTACCTGAACGGTGCAACCACACGGCGGAAAATGCCCAGTTTAGGCTGGCTCAGGAAGTGTTACCAGCAGATTGACAGAAGGTAAGAGGCTCTGCAGTGTTTCCTTACAATATTCACATGCTCAGTGATACACATTTTTAGGATAAACTGCTGTTTAATGTGGTGTCTGGTCCCTTTGGTTAAAAGATTTGACCAAGGAAATGGCTTGGTGTGTTGAAAACCCCTTCCTAAGCTGGACACTGTGGGATTGTGCTCCAGACATGTCGGGGGGGGCTGTTTGGGGTTTGGATTTTTTTTTTTTTTTTGGTGTTTTTTTCACTGTTGTTGTTACTTGTAGGGTTGAGGGGTTTCTTTAGGTGAAAATAGTAGTCTTAGAATATTAAATATTGCTATCTTGTAGAACATCCTTAAAACTTAATGTATTAATATAAGGGTAATAATGTGTGAACCACTTCATCATTAGCTGTGTAAAAAGATTCAAAGACACTTTTCCTTGGAGTGTTATTTCCTTGTCATTGTCGTTAAATTGATACTCTGTCTTAAATTTTTATAGTATTTTTTCTTCTGGCAGATGTTGGTTTCTAAAAATGGAATGTCAGAATACTAGGTTTATGTGACAGATGGGCTTGCAGAAACACACCTGTTATATATTCAAAAACCCCTTGTTGTCAAGCTGCTTTTTTCTTCTGGTAATTACTTTCATTGTTTAAATTCTTCAGGTTAAGGAAAAATCTGAAATCATTGATTATAGTTCATCCTTCTTGGTTCATCAGAACACTCCTGGCCATCACAAAACCTTTTATTAGGTAATACTCTGGAAGCTTTTTCTGTTTTCAGTAATCCTGACAGCAGTTCACTTTGAACTTGAATAACAGTTTTAATACTGGCCTAGTTGAAAGTGTTGAAGTTGTAACTGTGCCCTGCATTTGTTCTTCCACAGCTCCAAATTCAGCCAAAAAATTAGGTATGTCTTTACCCTGGCAGAGCTAGCTGAGCTCATCCCCATGGAGTACGTTGGCATCCCCGAGTGCATAAAACAGTAGGTTGTGTTGTTGTCCTCGCTGTGTCCTCACTGTCCGTGTCCTGCAGCTGCGTGTGTTTGGTTTGACTGGAACACCTGGTAACGTCAGCTCCGAGAGGGTCCGTGTCTGACCCCCCTGCTCTCTGCAGCTGGGCTGGAGGAGAGGGAGGCAAAATGCTCCTGTGGAGGGACTCCCACAGCTGGTGCTTTGTGCCGTCACCGAGCTGTGATGTGCACGTTGAGAGACGAGGCACTTGTTCTGCCCCTCACACCTTGTGGGTGAGAAATTCTGGGCACGTTGGTACTGAGGTTATTTATAATAAATACCTTCAGTGTCCCTCAGTGGAGCAAGTGCAGTGCTGAAATAGCACTTGGCTTGGGCTCTCCCACCACTGCTCTTCTTTCAGATGAAAGTGCTGAATCCCTTCCCCTTACAGTTCTAAGCAACTTGGATAAATAAGGGAGGGCAGCATCAGTGTAACATTTTCCCCTTCCCTCCAGATATGAATATCCATTTTAACATCAGCACAGTTCTTCTCTCAAAAATGATGATGATGCTTTTGTCAATAGCGTTTGAGGGTGCAACTGCTATATAGAAATAATAGAGTAGAAACCATAAACTTGGCTCTTAAACCAGGTGATAAACTGATCGGCCTGTGGGAGGGTATAACACACAAACCCCGTGGCACTTAAGCTTAACTTAGGAAGTTAATTGCTAGATTTGGAGGATTATATCTGGCTTCAAACTGTTACAAATGCAGACTTCAAATTTTAGTGATGGATGTTGATACCATGCAAGAGGTCTCATTGAACTCATTTGTTATGTCATAGTAATTAAATGCTTCTTGTTTAATGCTTATAAATGCTGGAACTGCCGTGTATTTTTTCTTAATTATATCAGTTTCAACACTGGGTAAGTTTCTGTATTTCTATTATGTGTCAGTACAAACTGTTGACACTAATACTAGTTTGCAGCTTCTGTTGATTTTGGCCTTCATATGTTATATTTACTGAAATAAAACTTTTCCTCACCAAGGTATGAAGAAGAAAAGTTTAGAAAGAAACAGAAAAGGTATATTCCTATTTTGACGAGGGTTGCATCTAGATAAGACAATTTGCACTGCAACTAACCCCCAGTTGATTGGCTTGCATAAAGGAATAAGCATTTGTAAATATAAACATGCACTAGTGCCCCAGTTTTTGTGCAGGAGAGGAACTCCCTGGACTTGCAGGCAGAAAATCACCTAAAGAAACTCACCCTGGGGGTTCAGACAGAGCTGTGGGAATAGTTCCTATTCCACTGTTTTGTGAGATGCTCACTTCTGAGGGGGACCTGTGTTCTCAATGAGTCTTCAAGAGGCAAAAGTCGTGCTTCTGTCTGAATCTGCTGAATCCAATTTCCCTGTCTCTAAGGAGCACTGCTGCCTGAAGATGAGCTGTATTTAGGTGCTAAGCTGTCTGTGCATTAGCAGAGATGCAACTCTGTAAGAAGTTCTAATATTGAATCTTGTATTCTTGGTATTCACTACCTTTTTAGTTATTAACTTGCACAGTTGCAATCTAAATAAGTGTTTTAGTGCTGTTTGTATTTGCAGTGCCTATGTTCCTTGCTAATAAACATTGGATTTCCATTTTGTTAATTTTCAGCCTCCTGCTAACTATTCAAGCTATTCCAGCAGCTGATGACATTTTTTTTTTGGATGGATAATGTTATTTTTTCACCCACTAACAATTGTACCGAAAGATTTTGCTACTAACTTTGTTTTTCCTTTTTAATTACTTTTTCTGTGTTTCCATAACTATTGAGGGAAGCTTATCGTCTAAATTGGGTAGAAGATTACTGAGCAATTAAAGTAAATAGATTTTAAATTCTTTCTGAAAGCTAGCATGTAAATCTAGTGATGTGTTGGACATTCTTTAGGAATCGCTCCAACGAAGTGATAATTTTGCAGTGTGTGACCTGAAGTGCTAAGCCTGTCAAATTTAAGAAACCCTTTCAGTAACTGTCAAACAATAGTTCTGCTTGATTTTTATTTCCCCAGTGTGCATAATTTGGCCCAATTCTGTTGCAAGGCCCCTTGTATTCAGGATGCAACCCAGAGACATTCAAACAGTAATGCAGAGACATTCAAACAGCAATACCAGTATTATTGTATTACCTGTAAGCTTGTATTCCTGCTTGCATTTTTTAAGAAAAGCACTTTTTTCTTCTGTAGTCAAACTTCACCTGCACTTTTTAAATGTTTCCTCTCAAGTGCTATAGTTATTTAAATGGATTCCTAACAATTCCTTTTAATTAATTAATTTCTAGGGGGGAGGTATTTTAAAAAACCCAACAATGTTGTGACTGCATTAAAAAAAAACCTTAATTTAATATATTTAACTACTAAAACTTTTCCCATGTGAAAGCTTTGTGTTTTCCTTTAAGACTAATAGCTTTTTCTTAATATATGAGCTACCAAACTGTGTTAACATAGTCTTAATTTTAGTGTTTTCTTTGCTGAGCAGAGTTGACCAAGAGCTGAATGGAAAACAAGAGCAGAAAGGTGAACAGTAAGTTTGGAGTGCAAACAAGACTGAAGAATATGCAGATGGGATGATGCTGTTTCCATTTCCAATGTGTTCTCTGTGTATGTATCATATAACCTGTTGCAAAAGGTGCTTTGGACGAGCACAAGAACTGCTTCCTGCTGTACTGGTTTGTCTTGACTTTAATAGCTGTTTATGTACTCGTTTTATACTGCAAAATGTCAAAGAACCCTGTGTTTTTCAGAGGATGTTCTTGCAGTTGTTTATCTAAATGATGCATGTTCTTCAGTAAAATATTTATATACCTAAATGTTAAAGGAAAGAGATAATATATATTTTTATGACTGAGCAATGTATTGTGTGTGCCTGCTGAAGGAGTTCATTTGCAGGTAGGCAAGGCCATGAGTTACTTGTTTTTATTGTATAAATCTGTTTTGCTGTAAATGGTCAAGTGCATTTCCTCATTGTTGCAGATACATTTGTTTGGTTATTAGCAATCACATGAAGTCTTTCACGAGTGCAGAGCCCCTCCTTTTGGCTCACACACCCAGCTGAGGCTCCCTCCCTGGGGGGAGCCTCACCTGGGCAGTGCCAGTGCCAGTGCCCTGCCCAGGGTGCAGAACTGCAGTTCTGGGAGCATCAGGCCCAATTCTTCAGGCCCAATCTTCAGGCCAGGGGCTTCAAGGCTGAGCCACAACAGAAGCTGAGCTGTTTGAATGCCTAGGAAGGTATCAGAGCTTTCTCAGCTGAAGCTGTGCATGCAGGCTCTGTTCAGCACATGCAGCCTGTCTGAGCTCCTGCTGGGAAGCCACTCCATTGCAGTTCTCCCTGGGTGAGTCCTGCTTGGCCATAGCAGGAACTCTGGTCATACTCAGTAGAACTTGGGAGTTCCACAGTCATCCCAGCCATAATACCATTTTTTGGCAGAAGTATGGGGAGTCTTGTGCTACCTGTGTCGTCCCTGGAGATGAACCACCTGTTTCTAAAGCTCTTAGTCTGGCACGTGATGCAGCATTACTTTACCTTTACAAAAGTGATTTAAAGCTTGGGTTTTTGTCTACTCTCCACAATGGTGGTAAACCTGTGTCTGTAGGAGGTGTTCCTGGACACAATCACTACTGTTTATACGTTTATTGAGGCAATCATAACGCACGGGTGGATATGTTGGAGAAGTTTGTAACATCTGATAAACATGGCAATTCCCTGTAAGGGCAGGTGCGTGCAAATAAATTCATTCGGGAGCTGAGCAATATAATGTTCTAGCAAATATATTAAATCTTTGCTTTTGGTGTTCACTGTGCTCACAATTTTGTCTTTGCCAAAAAATACCACTTCTCAATGACATCTGAAGTTCGTGTTATTCAGTTAACTCTATTAGAAAAAATCTGGTTGTGTTCCACCAGACTGCTGCCTGACACTGCTAAACAGCAGCTGAGAGCGAGCTCTGGGCTCAAGACTTAGCAATTAACAAGCGATCTGCTGTCTCCAGTGATGCCTGTACAGACTGGGAGCATACTGCTGGCAGGTGAGGGCAGATTGCCGTGTCTCTGGGAGGGTAAGTGTGCAGTTCAGGGATGTCCCTCTGAAATCCAAATGCTTTTGTTACAGGAGTTTCAAAGAGATGAACAAACAGGGTGTACTTGTGTAAGAGGCAGTACCAATGTCAAGGTGCCTTGCATCCATTCCCTCAGGTCTGGATCTTGCTCTGAAGGCAGAGCACAATTGCAGACGGTTTCTTTGGGCTGTCTTATCTCCAGTTTCCGTGTTGACCCCGGTTAATGTAAAGTTAGGTCAGTGAACTGGGCACTTGCAGCCTTCTGATGCTTGGACAGTGTGGTGTGTCTGTACATGCAAACCTGATTTTTCCTGGGTCTCTGTGGGTCCTTAGATAAACAGGAAGCATTCTGATGATCTCATGTCCATTTTTTTCCTAACTGACAAAAGGTTTATTCTCAGAGGGTTGCAGTTCTCTCTGCCCTGTTCCTCCCTGTGTACAGTGCAGCGTGGAGTAGCCAGTGCTCTGTGTGTGCCATATTTACCGAACGATGGGATTGTTGTTGAGTTCCCTGCTGGCCGAGTGAGTCCACAGTTTCGTGCTGCAGGAGTCTGATTTCTTTTGGAGATGTGTATGTGCTTCCCAAATGGTTTATTTCTCCAGTAGAAGTTGTTGTGAGTGGATACGCAGCACAACAGCTCCCTAAAGATAAGCAGCCTGAGAAAGAGGTGTACTAAGGAATGATCCCCCTCTGACTTCTTGCAGCTCATCACTGAATGGTGAGGTGGATGTTTACAAAAAGCAAAGTGGTCCCAAAGTTACGAGTAATGTTTTGTCAAACTTATCTTTTTTTGAAATCTATAATATGATGTAATATATTTTAATAATTAAAACCATGAAAAGCTGGAATGTCGTACTTTAATAAAAATTGTTTCAAAACTTGAATAAACTCTGTGATAAGATACAGTATTGTAGGGAATTCACCTTTCAGTGGCACTTCCTTTTAAAAGTAAGACTGGTGTTGTCAGAATTCAGGGAGCACTTGTCAGGAAAGGTGATTTCATGAGTCACTAATTTGCCTTTGCCTTGGAGGTCTCGTTAGTTTATATATAAATGCATAGCAATAAGTCACTGCCTGTCTCCTGTTACTGCTGTGGACAGCCAAGAGAAGGTCGGGGCCAGTGGACTCTCAGTGGATGTGACATTAAGTGAAATGATTTCTGCAACAGGGTAAGTGTCCAGAAGTGGCAAAGGGATTTTGGAGGAAGTGTCATTAGCTGGTGTGAGTAGACTGTGGATTGAATGTTCTTGACGTTCTGTGTAGGATGGCAGAGCCATGTTATGTTGGAAAGGAGGGGAAAGGGATCTGTAAGGATTTAGTGTTGCAGCAGATCAAAGTCTTTGTGGTCCTGGGATGTTGAAATGGAGAATTTTTATTCCAAAAAGCACGGAACTAGTTGGAATAACATGTAACCGTGTTCATAACTGTACAGTTTATCCTATGTTTTCCTCTATTTTCAGTGAGGAGTAGCACTGAGTGCTGTGAGGAGCTGTGCACTGAGTTGCACTGACTGCACATGACTGGGCACAGCCTCTCTGGTAGCACCTTGCAGCAGATTTCTTGCATCACACACCAAAGTGCTCTAATGACACCTTCAGACCTTCCAGCACGTCACTGGTGTCTCTTCAGGGTTAGATTACAGGTGGTGGTGATGGAATCTCTTACAACATGACCTCCAAGCGTCATGGGGAGGAGGAGGTGGCATTGGTGCCTGCTCCTGTCAGCTTCACTGTTGGCATCTCCTGAAACATCTGTACTGAACTGAAAATCATGGAGATACATTGAGCATGGGCACTTTGTAAACTCAATCTGTCACAACGTTTCTCGCCGAAAAGTGCATTTCTTTCAGTGTCAGATGCTCAGAGTGTTTTCCCAAAGTCGAGTTCTTTTCTTAGAAAGAAAAGAATTTATGACATGGAATTGCAGATAGTTTATGACATGGAATTGCAGATAACTAATTATAAATAAGAGTTCATGGAGGACAGATGCTCTCGTCCCAGGGGCTCTGCAGTTCTGCAGTCTTTCTTAGCCATCATCAGCAAGTCAGGGCTGACCAGTGGGCTGCTCTAATGGTTGAATGGGAGATAAAGGGTTACCAGAGCAGGATTACATTGGCAGTTAGTATCTGTAGATTCTAATACGTGTGGTGTGGGAAATGTGCAGCGTTTAACACAGTGGAGCTGCAGCAATCACAGAGCACAGCTTGTGAATCACGGTTAATGCAACTGGCGTGATTTGGCTGCTACCATTCCTCACCGATGTGACTGTTTTCCTTTGCCCCTTTGATATAAAAAATGTAAGTAAGAATACCACGACCCTTTCTTTTCAAATAAGCTTCTGTTTCCTGTGTTCCGAGGGGTGACGGGACCCCCCCGCCTGCGAATGTGCGAGCGGTTATTGCGGGGAACAGCCTGCGTCAGGGAAGCCCTTCCCGAGGTGTGGCTGTGACACTGAGCGGGGCGTGGGGGGGCCGGGGGGCACCCCACCCTGTCTGCGTGTCCGTGGGGGATCGGCCCGTGTCTGAATGTCCGTGTGTGTCTGTGTGTCCGTGGGGGATCGGCCCGTGTCTGTGTGTCCGTGTGGGATGGGCCCGTGTCTGTGTGTCCGTGTGTGAATGTCCATGAGTGTCTGTGTGTCCGTGTGGGATCCCACCCTGTCTGTGTGTCCGTGTGGGATGGGCCCGTGTCCGTGTGGGATGGGCCCGTTCCGCTTCCGGGCCAGGGGCCGGCCCGGCGGGGCTGCGGCGCTTCCGCCCGTGAGCGGCGGTGAGGAGGGAACGGGGCCGGGATGGGGATGGGGATCGGGATCGGGGCCGGTGGAGGGGCCGGTGCTCATGGGACGGGCATCCCGGAACGGGCTCCCTGGGGCTGGCCCCTTCCCCGGTGCGGGCTGTGCGGTAGGGCCGGGAGGGACCGCGGGGCCCGGCTGTGCTGGGAATGCCCGGGAATGCCGGGGGTTCCCGGGGCTGGGCAGGGCCCGGCTGTGCTGGGAATGCCCGGGAATGCCCGCGGTTCCCGGGGCCGAGCAGGGCCCGGCTGTGCTGGGAATGCCCGGGAATGCCCGCGGTTCCCGGGGCCGGGCAGGGCCCGGCTGTGCTGGAAATGCCCGGGAATGCCGGAGGTCCCCGGGGCCGGGCAGGGCCCGGCTGTGCTGGCAATGCCCGCTGTGGGTCCCGCAGCCCCGGGCGCTCCGAGGGCCGCGCGGGGTTGGCGAATCGGCCTCTCGGGTTGTGTCGGGCCCGGCTGTGCGGGACAGCCTTCCCTTCATTGTTGGGTGCTCGTTTGTTTTCAGTGAGAGCGAGGACACCGCCGGTGCGGGGCCGTGGATGAGCCGGTGGAACCATGGCATACCAGCTGTACAGGAACACCACGCTGGGCAACAGCCTCCAGGAGAGCCTGGACGAGCTCATACAGGTGTGTGGGATCAGCTCAACACAAACAGGAGTTACTCCTTAAAATGGCTCTGTAGTTGCTGCAAATCGGGGCATTTGTGGAAATATATTTTTGAAAACTTACTGGTTGAAATCAAAAGCCTTTTGTCCTCCATTCACTTGAAATGTCTTTTTTCTTTACGTCCTGGGTGAATGAGAAGGTCTTACGTAAATGGCATGATCTCCCGTTGTGTGGCCCAGTAAATGAACAGCCAGATTAAGCTGGAACATTGTAATCAACTTACTGCACTTCTGTTTATTTCCAGTGAATATTTATCAAAAGAAATCCTCGTGTAGCACAAAAAAGTCTTTATAGCACATTGTTTTTTCTCTCAGAATTGAAATACTGAGAAGGAAATAAACACAGGAACATAATATTTTTGAAAACTCTTCCTCTGCAGAACTGCTTCATGTGAACTTTATAACTTTGTTTTGATGTTTTTAACTCTTACTGCGTGTTTGAGTTTGCTTTGAAACAACTCAAAACTTTCTTTTTCTTTTTTTTCAAACTACTTTAGTCTCAGC